GTTTGTGTTTGGGAGGGCGAGGGCGAGGGTGGTGAGGAGGGGGGTGAGGGTGAGGATGTTTAGATGCATTTTCAGTTCGTTCGGTTGTTGTTTGGTTAGGTTGGTGGTTGATGATGGTTGAGGACTTGAGGTTGGTTGAAGTTGGTGATGTGGTGATGTGGTGTCCAGGTTTATATCTTGTCCTGACGTGCTCCTATCTCATGATGAATGGAGTCGTGTTTCCTCTGATGGGCGGTGGTACAGGTGTATGTTATACAGGAGTAGCGATATGGTGGTAGACGTGTACACGGGAGTACCTGCAGAATACACATAAACACGTTCCGTTGCAATGTTGGGTAACTATAGTCCAGCTGATCTCTATGCGATCTCTATTAATAGTATTGTCGTATAGTCTAATGTATCATATGTACAATGCTAGTGACACGGGTGTACAACGATGGCAGTGGCAGCTAAAAACTGACAATGGCCGACATGCCAAGAGGAATGTCACCCTTGCGAGCAACCACCTGGAGATACGCCGTCTGCAACCCACGGACCGTGCCAGACGTCTCAAAGCCAGTGCGCTTGAAGGTGGTGACGATCGTGGTGTTCACAGAGTCCGGCGCGTCCGCGGCCATCACGGCCCAGTTGTCGTACTCCGTCGCGCCGTTCCAGCTGACAAAAACCTGGGCAGAATCTTCCGACACCCGGCGAACGACGATAGACGGCTGCCAGAACGGGGTCGCCTTCCACTGGCATTTGTAACCGCGGTACGAGGCCACCTCGTTGTCGGTGCCGAACTGGGCCGTCAGGACCTCCTTGTTGTCGGCGTCAAACTCTTTGATCTTGGCGATGGAGCCGTAGCCCAGCACGACGTGAGACGACTGCGGGCTCAGCAGTTGGTAGTTGCCCTGGCTGACGGCGTGGATGACGTCGCTGGCGTCGCTCAGTGTGCGCAGCGTCGTCGCCTTGCGGTGGACCAGATCCACGGCATAGCTCAGACCGGTCGTCGCCGCAACAGTCTCGGTGGGGGTGTTGGCGTTGTTGAACAGACTCAGGATCATGCCCTGTTCGGTGCGGTTGTAGACGCGGATGTCGTGCTGCCAGGAGAAGACGCCGGCCGGGTCCAGTTGAAAGTCGCCCTTGCCCAGTTCGCCCTTTCTTCGGTCAGCAAATGTCTAAAAGAAAAAAGGGGGAGGACTACGCTGAATTGCCACATCACCGTGCCATTGTTGTGGACATAGTAGCCCGACCAGTAGTGACGCAGAGAGATGATATACCCGTCGTCAAACAGTTCCACCGAGTTGATATGATACGCATCCCACGGCTGCTCATGCGTTCCATGATCGTCGTCAATCCCCTGCTTGGAGTCCGTCAAGGCAATCTGATCGACATGCTCCAGGGCGCTCCACGAATGCACAATCTCGTTGGTCGCAATGTCGATCTCAAAGAACAGACTGTCCAGCATGTAATCATCCGGCGTGCCCCCGATCGCCGTCAGGGACTGCTGGGTGACGTTGTAGGCCGTGACCAGCAAGGTATTGCGGTCGGTGATGTGACTCTCGTGCAGATCAATGTGCGAATCCGGGACGCTGTTGTCCGGCGTCACAAAGTTGCCCTGCAGGGTCACCGTGTAGATCTCGCGGTAGGTGTTGTCGAGCACATGGACGGCACCATATCCGAACCCCAGGTCCGTCATGTTGCCGGCCCAGAAGGTGATGACGTCCTGGTTGAACAGCGTCTGGACCCGGAAATTGGCCGTCACCTCGTCCGGGCCCTGGTAGACCAGGTTGCCGTCCTCGTCGTAGATCAACGCCGCCGTGCCTGCCGGCTGGTTGCCGCGGGGCCCAACGAAGAGATAGCCCGGGTCGGTGGTGCCACTCTTGGTGATTTGGATCTGAGGAGGCTGGTACGGAGCAGTCTGCAGGGTCATGTATGGCCAGTCATCATCTGCCATGGCACCGAGTGACAGTAGCAGGGCACACCCGGCCGTGAGTAACCCTCCTGGCATGTTCAAAGGCAATCTATAAACAGAATGAATGTGTATGGTGTACAAAGTTGACAAAGTTGGACAGTGACAATAGCGGAACAAATCAAACCGTGCTGCGGTGGAGGCGATTCAAGTAGATATAGGCAGAAAGGTCAGAGGATGAGGATCTACAGGGGCCACAACAAAACAGCAAAATCAACATGAGATCAGATCGTCCGCCTGCAGTGAATCATGGATGGTGGATTCTCCGATACCTGGACACTGGACCGAACCGAACCACATCAAGCATTGATCTTCACCTCACTAGAGCCAACCGGTTGCGAGAAAAGGATCTTCGTCGATAATGGAGATGGCGATGCCAATCCTCATGGGCCAGCGGAATCGCCGGTTTGGCCTGACGCGCAAGCAGACTTGATCAAGCAATCAGTAGATAGACTAAGCAAGTGCAGCTTCATCCAAGGACGAACTATCAATCAATATTCAACTCATCGAAAGATTGAATTGAATTGAATTGAATCGGCAGGATAAGATTCTCTATTCATCTGAAGGCGCAAAGAACAACACTTGGCAGATCCACCTGCGGCACTAGTCCCAAACGGTCCGTCGCCAACTGGAAACATCTCTGAATATGAAGCGAGGATAGAGAGATCGACACCAGTATTTCCTCACTGTCATTCTAGCTAGGATCAGCCGACGGACTGCGACGGAGAAACAGCAAGCATCTGTTTCAAGTGCTTAAATCCCGTCTGAGATATATGATTGTTACTGCAAGAGACCATCAGCGTGGCACGTGAGAAGTTGCCCTTTTCATACAAATCCAAACAATTCGAGTCAACCTTCATATCAATATGTTCACATTATTAGCACGTATATATATATACATCATTATACCGTCACCTCTACTCCCTGACATGCTCGCGCGTATACACCTTTGGCACCGAAAACTCCGATTTCCGCCGAGCCCCATCTCTCCCTCCACTCCCCCCATTCCCCGTCAGTGCCTCGATGTCCTCGTCCGTCGGGCGTCCCCGTCCACTGCCCTCGATGCGATGATGCTGGTGGTGGTGCTCGCCGGTATGTAACAGGATCTCGCCGCCCATGTTCCGTTTCCGAAGCCAGTAGGCGCGCATGCGGTCCAGGGCGGTTTTGAAGTCGTCGAGGATGACGGTGTCGCAGAGACATTTGAAGATAAACGATAACTGTCCACTGTCAGCTGTTTCCTCGTGAAATTGGACAGAGGATTAGAACCTTCCAGAATGGCTCGATCCCCGTCGGCAAGGAAGAATGGCTGAACACGTTGAGGACGCTGCAGGTATCGACGATCATGAAGGCAATGGAGAGACACATGGACGCCAGCATGATGCCGAATCGCGGGGAGACGCTGACGAGCTCGATGATCCCAAAGTTGTATTCGCGCTTGATGGTGTAGAAGAGGGAGCAGGTGGTAAACACCCACCAGGGGTCACTATCTCCATCAGCTTTTCTCCATCTCCGCTCGGGACCGAAACGAACCGAAAGAGAGGCTCTAGCGGCCTCGTCGTCAGAAAGATCTTGTTGTAGTTGTTGAAATACGCAAAATTCGCATAAATCTCCAGCACCCAGTAGGGCTGCACCAGGATCACCGTGCCGATGTAGAACAGCGAGACCTTCCTCGACATGAACGGGCGGTTCTTCATCCACGCGATCACATTGTGCAGGCTCCAGGAGATATTCAGCCCGATGGCCGTGACGCTCTGGTACCACCCGTAGACGGGGTCCTTGGGGAAGATGAAGGTGCCATTCGGCATGGCCAGGATCAACTCCGCCAGAATCAGTTTATGCAGCAGGATGTGTTTCTTCATGTTGGCAAAGGTCACGGCGGCCATGACCAGCAGCGAGCCCAGCATGAGGCCCTGGCCCCATGCCTCGAGGACGAGACCATCTGGATTGGTGGGTCGCGAGATGCGATCCGATGCCGACATTGAGATCACAGTTGCATGCTGATCCTATGAAAATAGTAATAATAATAAAATAAAAAGGAAAAAGAAGGAAGGTCGCAGGTCGGTGAGAGAACGGAGGGTATTCGGGGAATAAGAAAGGTAAAAGAATGGAGTCGTGAGCTGCAGGGAGAGAAGAGGAGAGTGGGACGCGGGAGAAAGATATACAGGTCTGTGGGGATGCAAATTCTGGAGTCAGGATACCATGAGACTGGAGAATATGGGGTAAAAGTATAGGCAGTCCACAGTCAAGACCCACGAGGCGATATATACTGCCATGCCATAGCCACATGGCTGGAATCACTCTCGAGTCTCTGGCCGAAGGTAAAGAAAAGGTCAAAGAGCCATGGTCAACGGTTAGCATCTTGCAGGGGACATTTCAGAACCAATCGCATCGACTATCCCAAAGTCAAAGAGAACCAGAGTTGATGGACTTGGGGCTGGAACCGGAGGAAGCGAAAGAATCAAAGGCCGAGGGAGGTCTTTGTGAGTCTGAGTCTGAGTCTGTGGAATCCATTGTCTTGATACTTAATAATTGACATAAGTTCACTCTTGTCAATCTGTCACTGTCACTGTCAATGACTCGAAGCACCGGCTTTCTCAGTCTTAGTCTCCCTCTTCCTCTTCCCATCAGGCCACGGGGAAACGGAGGAGGAAATTTGTTATTTGCCACTGCGGAGAAGACCAAAGCCGGGGAGAAGAGCCAATGTAAATGCCTCAAATGGATCCGTCCCTGGCTTATGCATGAGACCGTTGGCTTGGCGTTCGTATTGACTTCTCTTACGGGATAGCAGTTATGGATCAAAAGATGCCTCCAGTCCTAACTCCTAAGAATCTGGGGTGATCCATTCTCTGATCTATCATCTGCCATCTGTCTCGCTGACAACTCAGCCTTATGGATAGCATCATAGCCATCGATGTAAAGAGTCAGACAATGAACATGACCTCTGCTTTGTTGAATTGCTCTCTGCAAAGAAAAAAAGTCAACCGGCTACGCCACGTTCAGTACTAAGCAAAGTCAAAGCAGATGCCATTACGTGCGGCATCAATAACAGTCAGTCTCTCCTCTTTTTCCTCCAATCAAGTCGCTCTGAACAAAAGCCGAATGGATTCAGCCGTCTGGACTCCTGAAGGCTCTGATATTAGCCATCGGCCTGCTTCGGCCCCCTGGCCGTCTCGTCCTCGAGAGCCTCGTCAATGGCCTTTTCCCGAGGTCCTCCCGGACCTCCCCCAAACACGTTCTGCATTTCTTCCAGCGAATGGCCAGATGTCTACGGGTAAAGAACACAGATTAGTTGAAGAATGCCAAGAGGAAGAAAGGACTGACCTCCCGCAAAAAGAACCACGAATACCCGATAATGGCGTAGTTGAAGACCGCAAACATCAGAAACATCCGCCATCCAATATTCTCAATCGCGTGCGGCGTCACCTGCGACATCATAAAGTTGAACAGCCACTGCGACGCGGCCCCCACCGTCACGCCCACCTCCCGGGTCCGGCTCGAGAAGATTTCTCCGACGTACAGCCACGGCAGCGGCCCCCAGGACATGTTATAACTAAACGCCTCGGCATAAGTCATGATGATCATCGCGATGCCCGCGTGCGTCGCTCCGGACTCGGCTGCCCCCGTTGACGCCTGGGTCGGGTGCGTCGCCAGCACACAAGCAATGATGAGCATAAAGGAGCCCATCGCGCCTGCGCCCACCATGAACGGAACCCGGCGCCCGATCCGGTCCATGACAAACAGCTGGAAGAGGCTGACCCCGACCACCTTGACCACTCCGAAAAATCCCGTCACCAGCTTGGCCGAGGTGCCCGCCCCGACCGCCGAGAAGATCTGCGTCGCGTAGTACGCCAGCGAGGTGTTGCCCGTCAGCTGCGCACACAGCTGGATCGTGACGGCGATGAAGATCCGGTCCCGATTCGCCGGCAGCAGCAGCTCCCGCCAGGTGAAGTTCTCCCGCACGCGCGCCTCCTCCTCGAGGCCCGTCAGGATCTCGTCAAACTCCTGCTGCAGCGCCTCGGTCTCGTCGCCGCCGCGCACCCACCGCAGGGAATCCCAGGCGGCGTCCCTCCGGCCCTTGGCCGCCAGCCACCGCGCGCTCTCCTGGACGGTGCACATGCCCGCCAGCAGCAGCGTCGACGGCAGCAGCTGCAGTCCCAGCGCGATCTGCCACTGCTTCGTGGCCGACGGCTGATCCTTGGACACCGCGTACGTCACCCAGTACGCCACCATCACCCCGCACGCAAAGAACCACTGGAAGCACGCCCCCAGCCGGCCGCGGAACTCCTTGGGCGACATCTCCGCCGCATACATCGGGATCAGCACGGTCGCGGCGCCGATCCCGACGCCGGCGATCACGCGGCCCGTGTAAAAGGTCCCCAGGGTGTGCGTGTTGACGACCTGCAGGATCGTGCCGAGAGTGAACACCAGCGAGCTGATGATCAGCCCGGTCCGACGGCCCAGCCGCGACGCCACGGGCGTGGTGAAGAAACATCCAAAAAACGCGCCGGCCTGCAGGATGGAGACCGCATTCGAGTTGACGGTGGTTTTCTGTGCTTGAGTGTATCGGAAGTCTTTCTGGAAGGATTCCAGCGTGAGAACGCCGCCTGTTCAATCAGTCTGGCCGTTTCGTTTTTTCAAAGGGGTAGCAACGCACTGATCACCCCAGTATCGAAAGCAAAGGCAAACGAGCCCATGCAACTGGCCGACACCAGGTAAATGGCCCGAAGCAGGCCAAGTCTTTTGCCCATGATCACGTCACCTTCCAGAGACATAACCACCAGGAAAAAGGCGAGGATATCTCACCTTTTTAAACGTACGTAAAGACAAAGATAAAGGTCACTGCATGTCAATCATCCCTGCCGTTGCGTGATCCCACGCCGTGCTGGAGGTGTCACACCCGCAACACGAAGCTCGCCGAACAGGAAAGCTTGGGGATGATCCCCGCCGCCTCGAGGTCCTGATAGGTGACTCTTTGATGCCATGCGGTCTAGTGCCGGTCTTGTTGCCTTTGTCTTTGCGCAATGCGAGTCAGCGAGCGGTGCTTGGACCGACTCGTGATATGGAGTAGTGTCGATGTAAGAAGGATCCGTAGCTGCCACCGTACTCCGTAATGCGAGGAACAAAAGTAATTGGTGAGTGATTGCAGGCTGACTTGACTGGTTGGTTCGCGATGGCGTGACGGGTGTCAATCCATAATCCATGGGAAGGTGACTGCGTAGTTGTACTGATAGGATCATAGTTGATGTTTCGAGTATCTCTTTGAAGCTCTTTGACTCGAGACAGACAGACAGAATACGGATAGGATCATCCGTTCGATGTACCCCGCAACGCAAATGATGACGCTCAGGCAAAAGCCGGGGTAGACTAGATGCTAACAAGTATGCGGCGTTAATCTCATATTCGTAGTCTTTCGGTAGATACCAGAGGTAAGTACCCCTGGAAAGGGCAAGCTTGCATGTGTGCCTGATCCCAGGATCTCGTTAGTCGGGGACTCTTCAAGGATATTCACTGAAACCATCCTCAGGCTTGAGATATAACCTTCTGTCGAATTAAGGAAACTCAACCTCAGCCTCAGGAACACTACATCAGTAGCTATCTTCAGGCCTACCATAAAGCAGCCGGTGACACTGTACATGACCAAGAGATTTGATATACAACGCTCTATGAAGACTTTTGTTGACGTACCATATATACCAGCAAACACTACTATATCTGTACCTCTTCAACCACTGGGAATATATAGGCGATTATTAGAGACCCAATTAACCCTCGACTAAGTACTAGTGGCGTGGTCGAATCTGTTTATGCTTATCCAAGGTCTTCACTAGCTGTTGAATTCACAGATTCCTGATATTCTTGATCAAATTCACTTGTTATCAACTATGAAATTATGATTTTATCCTATTCACTTTTTTTATGGTCCAGTAACACATGAGCTATATCACTTACTCAGTACATTTTGGTCGAATATAATGTCACCAGGCATTCTCCAGTTTCATCTCTCCCAGTCTAGCTCTCCAACAGGAGCCTTATCCCAGGCCTCTCCTGACAGCCCTTCAAGCAAGCATCTTGACTTCTCATTCTCTTCTGACTGCCTGTATCCAAGATGGTACTGGATTTTCCATCGGCTGCGAAGCTGAGGTGACCCTCCAGCTAAGGCAGGGACAGAGACTTTGCCGACTACATTGTATCGAAGTACAACAGCACATGTGGATCGCAGGATGTGTCTATGGTCTCTTCTCTCATGTGGACGCTATCGGAGTTCCAAGCAGCCGCAGACAGTGGACTCTGGTGGACGACCTCACCATCGACACAACTACTGTTGGAATAGATACCACTATGACTATGGATCTGAAACCCTAGACTGACGAGCACATCGTCCGGACACCTTTTTAGTCTAGTGGTATTATTATTCAATAACTACTGACGACCAAGGTAGGCTTCCCCACCCCTCAAGAACTACATAGATAAAGTGATTAACTCTTGGGTAGGGCCATTGGAGATGACTAGCCCTATCCTCCTCCATGCGGATAGTGGAAACTGGAAAGAGGACATACAATCACACTTTTTCGAAGATTTTCGCTATGTGCAAAATCGAAACGAATCGCTCGTGCGGCTTCCACGTCCATTTTTCTCCCCGGGAGTTGGCTGGAATGTCGCTATGCTCAAATCGCTGTCCCGTGCTATACTCGTTTTCGAAACAGCCTTTGTTGGAATAAGATACGACTATGACTATGGATATAAACCCTAGACTGACCAGTGACGAGTACATCGTCCGGACGCCTTTTTGGCCTAGTGGGATTATTATTCAATAGCGTTCGAGGTCACTGTCCCACCTGAACGCAGGAAGAATATGTACGCCAAAAGTAACCGGGAGTTTCGCAGGGGTCCGGGTCTTATTTCCGCCAGGGGCTGCTTTGCATGGATAGAGCTTGTTGTACGGTTCGCTCAGGCATCACTGACAGTCGAGACTGCGCGTCTGCTCGAGTACAGTTCAGACGTTCAAGGCCTGTGGAGACAATGTTCCTGAGACTGACAGGAACATTCTACACCCACTTTTCGAGGGCAAGTCTGGATCACGGCTCCCTCAACCTGTACCCCGACTCACGTGGGAGGAACAGAACCTGTTAGAAAGAAAGAAAGTTGAAGCGGAAGAGAAGAGCATTGTGGCTGCGAAGGTACAGGAGGATTATGAGTCCTGGGACGGTTGATTCTGACTCTTATGCGTTAAGTTAGAAAGGAACATTGGCGTGCTCTCTATTTCACTCAGCCTTTTTTTTTGGGGAGGTGATCAGTCGCATCTTAGGGAAGGCAGATTCAATTTGCAGGACTGGTTGCGGAAGCAGGAGCAGGAGACAACAAAACTAGGTGGTAGAATATCCTTTGCAGATTGAGATATTTGAGGGAGGGTTCGTGCGGAAATTCTTATTTTAGATTTTTAGTTACTATACATATACAATGACTTCTGAGCATGCTGGCCAAATAATCTGACACATGGAACGCCATCCAGCTCGAGAAGAAGAGAGCTTATCATAGGGACATAACATAAATGCTCATTGACAGAAAGAGCTTGCGGGAGAGTGTCAATGAAGACAAAAGGGAGATATACAGTGCTCTTTATGAACAGTTTATATCGACCGCAGCCCTAAAATCATATACGGCCCTGATTCGGACAGCGGGGTCGTCTCCAGCAACCCGGGCCAAAGCCGCCTCGCGATACGCGCATTCCGCTGTTCCGACCTCAGTAGTCGGACCATTTGCGAGTCTTGCTGTGCCATCGAGGGAATGCGCTTCATGCGGGTCAGGAGACTGTCCAATGCTCCCATCTGTATGAAGATCAACACGCGGACCAGGGTCTTCCAATCCGGCCCCGCAATGTCATAGTCATCCAAGACCATTTCCGGCCATTCGGTTGCTCGTGACTTTGACGTTGACCACGGATGGTGTTCTGTCGCATTACTGCTGTTGCTGTTGCTGCTGCTGTTGCCGCTGCTGTCGATCACGTCAAAGTATGCGCCGACAATGCTATCGCACAGACCCACGAGACGCTCCAAGACCAAGTTTAGCACCGTCATGTTCTCCGGACGGCTGCGGCAGGTCGAGCACTGCAACATCCTCTCGCACCAGGAGAGGGTCTCTCGGTAGGAGCTGAGCTGTGAGTCAAGGTGTCGTTCTTGCGAATTTCCGGAAGAGGCCTCTAGCTCATGCAGGAGGAAGACGGCGGTGGGCAGGCAGGAGCATGTTCCTCTGGACTCCCGTTGCGGAGCATTCCGTCGTGACTGGCTGCTCGTAGCCGGAGGCGAAAGCAGAGACGGTGCGTGCAGCACGACTGACAATGGTGAGCTCACATGTGCGTGGTCTCTACTCTTGGTTAAAGGTACGTTTGCTGCTGACGATCCGTTCGCATCAGGCAGGCTTGACGAGTCAGGCGCCAGCTGTAGGCCCATGGATCGACGAGTCCTGCGGTTCATTTGAAAGGTGCCAATCGAAGCTATTGAGGTACAGATGATCCGATCCACTGGTCTCGCCGCTGATATGCGTAAGCCTGGGATTGATGTTCTTGCTTGTTTCCAGCTGGGGCTGAGGTGTGTGGTATTTCTGATTTGTTCCTGACTATAATCTTCCACCGAGCCATTGCTATACCGCGGCGGCGACGACCTCTTCCGGGGACCTCGCCTTGTGGCCGACTCTGAATATGTACACTGCACTTGCAGAGTACTACATTGGGCGCAGCCAGATCGTCGACCGCTGCAACGGATCTATTGGGGATCGAGGTTAGGGATCCAAGCACACTATGGGCAGGGGGGATCGTGACGAAGAACTCCCCTTTTTTACACGACAATTGTCGCAGGCCAGATGCTGAGGCCGACTAACAGGGCCGCGGCCCGGAGATCCCATCTCATGCTCCAAAATCTCCCCATCCTGACTGTCCGCGACATAACGGAGCGTCCCGAACATGCCTCTTGTGATCCAGGCGCGCGTAGTTACACCAAGCTCAAGCCAGAAGGCTGATTCATCCCTTGGATATTGCAAGTGGCTTGGGTGAGCACTAGTGAACAACAGTTGGCCCTATCTGGAAGCATGATACAAGCCATTTTCTGTTCAGGTCCATCGGCTGGATTCAATCCCCGAAGCCGATATTCAGTTGTTGCGCACGCGAGGGACCCATTGGTCGATTTCCCTGCTCACAGATAGTGTTGACCACGTTTCATCCAGGCTAGGTAATCTAGACAGTAGAGCCTTGCCTCGCATCTACCAAGCTGCCATCCAATGAAGTCCTCGTGCTGGCATGTTTGCCCATCAACTCTCAATGGGAGGCAGGGGTGAAAGCGGCTAGGGAAAATGTGTTGGGGAGCTATGGTGTGATCGTGCATAGGAGGACCAGAGGGGTTAGCATTGTATAATAGCTGCTTATTATATAGGCCAGCATCAGGCTAAGATACTCCGTAATCATATATCTGTTGTCCTGCTGCGGCGAGTTTTCCCCCGGTCGACCTTTCAAGCCATCTGGAATCGCGAACAACCCATCAGTGAACTTATCAATCTCCCTAGCTCATCCGGATATCCTCACAGCACGATCGAAGACGAAATGTCGGGCGGTGTGTTGTTCAGTCCCGATAAAATCCCAGACCTCTCCGGGAAGGTCATTCTAGTAACTGGCGGTTAGATCCTGCTCATAGTCAGGGCAGTACCTCAGCATTGGCGAATTCCCTAACATGTCAGTCACCAGGAACGGCCGGTCTCGGGGCTGCCACGGTGCTCCATCTGGCGAAACGCTCGCCCGCGCACATCTACATTAGCGGACGGAACGCAAAGAGCGCCAGCGACCTCGTCGAACAAGTGCGTGATTCAAACTCGAAGACGCGCGTATCGTTTCTCCCGTGTGACCTGGCGTCCCTCGTCTCCGTGAAGGAGGCGGCTGAAACGGTGCTCAAGCAGGAATCACGGCTGGACATCCTGATGTGTAACGCAGGCATTATGGCACAGCCGCCTGGGCTGACAAAGGATGGCTACGAGGTGCAATTCGGTATCAATCACTTGGGTCATGCGCTGCTGATCCAGAAATGTCTGCCTCTGCTGCAACAGACAGCAGAGCAACCTGGGGCCGACGTGCGCATCATCATCCTCACATCACTGGGATTTCAGATGCACCCCAGTGGCGGGATCATCTTCTCCGACTTGAAGACCGTGCAGAATTTCAGCGTCTTTGGTAGCTGGATCCGCTACGGCCAGAGCAAACTTGCCAATGTCCTGTATGCGCGCGAGCTGGCCCGCCGGTATCCCGCCATCACCAGCGTCTCTGTCCATCCCGGCGTGGCCAGCACAGGGCTCGTTGAGAATCAGAGCTGGGGAAACCGCGCCTTTATCTATGCTACCAACATGGGCAAGCTGCTGAAGCCCTCAGAGGGTGCTTATAACCAGCTCTGGTCGGCGACAACCGCCAAAGAGAACTTGGAAAACGGCCAACTTTATGAGCCGGTGGGGGTTCTATCGTCGAAGCTTGACAAAGCCGCTCGCGACGATGCCTTGGCGAAGAAGCTGTGGGAGTGGACGGACAGGGCCTTGGAGGACTACATGAACTAGATTGCCTTCTTCTTCTTCTTCTTCTTCCTCAGTGTCAACTGAGTGTTATATTTTGCGAACGAGGTTTATATACGTTGGGTAACAATGCGCTTGCTAGTCATCAAACTACTTAGAATGCACCCTTTCGCCGAATGCGAAAGGGAATCGGTTCGCCAGGAGGCATGGCCCTAACGCCATAAAATTCCTGTTCACTTTGGGGAGCCATCCTCGGGGCCGGTCCACGATCTCCAGCTCGTAATACGCCTTGAAGACTGCCACGCTGCCCCTGATCTCTTGTTTAGCAAAATGCCTCCCAGGACACATATATGGGCCTCCGCCGTATGCGATGAACCCGCCAGACAGTCCATCGAGAGAATATTTAGGACCGGTCTTCTCATCTCCCCTGACCAAGAATCGCTCCGCCCAGAACTGGTCGAGAGGGTACTTTCCATTTTGCGTGCGTTCAGGGCCCCAGGCTCCTGGGTCACAGGCGGCGACGTTCGTGCTCATGAGTCATGACAATAAAGCGCCCCTTGCGCAAGACGTACGGGCCTACCAGACGTCGACCTGCGTGGGTGTACGGTTCAACATCCAGGCAATGCGCATGCGGAGCACCTCGGTGTACGCTGACTGCAGAAGGGGAGAGTCGTCACATCAAATCAGTGGGTCTACTGTCCGGGGTACGACCGCGCCGTCGTCAGTCAAATCAGGGTCTGTGTGGATGTGTAGTATAAACCAGACTGCGCTCGGGATTGCGTCGGCATTTGCTCTGAACTTTTAATCGGCAGAAATGTTGGTTGCCTGGCAAAACACTGGAAGCTCCACCCAATCACTCCTGATCCTGTTGTCCCCGTCGATCTCTTCGCTCAGGAATGACATGAATCGTTCTGTCATTCGCTGCAGGGCGTCTCCTGTGAGGAACCGGTGCGCCGCCTGCTGCTGGTGATGGTGGACCCGTAGCTCCAGAGGGACGTCAGTGCCCGGGAGGGGGTTGGGGGCAATCCCCGAGTTGCCATTCTGTTACATGCATGCCGAATATGTTCTCCATCGCGAGCGCTGTGGTTTGGAAGACAGGTTGCGCGGGGCTCGCAGCAGGGTGCCAACATCGTCGGATCCATTCCAGATACAAAATATCCTCGGATGGGCCCCAAGACCACCTGAACGGGTAGGCTATCACCATACCGTCGCCTTTCATTGTCATGTTACCGCTTGCGCGCCCTACAAGGGAGTAATTGGGTTGGTCTGAAGGTTTAGGGTAGCCTACCTAATGCCGTCCGGCGTCGACAAAAGCCCCAGTGTCTTTCATAATGATGGCTTGCAAGATCGTAGAGACATGTGCATAGTGCAGAACTACCGGTACACCACCGAGGCCGAGGGACGCGTACCAGCATTCCTGGATCGAATGGGTGATGGCAGTGAGTCCCTCCCTGATCATCATTCTGACTTGTTTTATGTTGTTACCCTTGAAAGGTCTTGTGCTCAAGCATAGAAGTCTTCCCATCCCTAGCATCCTACTGTCCTACATGCCAAACATGCGCACCCGTCCCAAAAAGGCATCTTCTGATGGCATCAATGTGGACAGGCAAGGCACAGAGGCTGGAAAGGACGGGAAATCCTCAAGACTGTGGTTCCATTCAATCGCCCTATATAATCGCTGCCTTTCTCCCTCTGGCTTTGTCGTCTATAAGCACGATCCAAGTCATTCTATACAACCACAAGCACCAACGACAATATGACAACGCTCTCCGTGACGAAAGGAACCACAGGCTCTCTGCAGCCGCCACCGACCTTGTTGCAGCCTCTTTGCCATCCCCGAGTGGACGAGGTGACCAAGGAAGTGGACGGCTATTTCCTCGAGCACTGGAAGTTCCCCAACGAGAAAGCCCGCAAGAAGTTCGTGGCGGCCGGGTTCTCTCGAGTGACATGCCTATACTTCCCCAAGGCGCTGGACGACCGCATCCACTTCGCCTGCCGTCTGTTGACCGTGCTCTTCCTGATCGACGGTAGGGTAGACCGTCTCTCCCCCCTGCCAACAAGACAACAGCCTGACTCAAACCCTGCCTAGATCTGCTCGAATCCATGTCCTTCCAGGAGGGGTTTGCTTACAATGAGAAGCTCATCCCCATTTCGCGAGGCGACGTGCTTCCAGACCGGTCCGTGCCAGTCGAGTATATCATCTACGACCTGTGGGAGAGCATGCGGGCCCACGACCGGGAAATGGCCGACGACATCCTCGAGCCGGTGTTCTTGTTCATGCGCGCCCAGACCGAGCAGACCCGCAGCCGTCCGATGGGTCTGGGCGAGTACCTGGCGTACCGCGAGCGGGACGTGGGGAAGGAGTACGTTGATGTTGATTGTAACTCGAGCAGTCCGAGCTGACAACCCATTGCTAATGTTCCAGGCTCCTTGCGGCGCTGATGCGGTTCGCCATGGCCCTCGAGCTTCCGGCATCCGAGCTCAAGCGCGTGCGGGAGATCGACGCCAACTGCTCCAAGCACATCTCCGTGATCAACGACATCTACAGCTACGAGAAGGAGCTGCACGCGTCGCAGACGGCCCATTCGGAGGGCGGGGTCCTCTGCACGTCGGTCCATATCTTGGCCCAGGAGGCTGATTTCCCGGCCGAGGCCGCCAAACGCGTGCTGTTCTTCATGTGCCGGGAGTGGGAACGGCGCCATCGGCTGCTCGTCAAACGCCTCCGGGCGGAGGGCCTCGAGACGCCCGGTCTGCGCGCCTATGTCGAGGGGCTGGAGTACCAGATGAGCGGGAATGAGCTGTGGAGCAGGACGACAGAGCGATATAGCTTTGTTGCGGGTTGAGGCATGGGGAGAGTATTACGTAGTGGTAAGGCAGATGCATCCATAGCTGTGTTGGAAGCGTACAAAGCACTTGTCGCAGCTAAAAATCTGGCCTAGACAGATGTGAAGAAGTAGAAGGGCCGCGCATTCCTGTGGCGCTGAATGGCGTTCTAAAGACACGCAAGGACTTTCTTTAGTTATTTTTACACAACCTTAATGCGACGCAGACGAACAGGAGTCTTTGTCCTTTGTTTTCTCTAGCACAGATAGGACTAGGTTTGAGACGCGGCGCTAGGAATATTTGAATGGGTAGTGAAAGATGGCCAGAGTAGCGTTACCAGAGCGCAAGGCCCTGTTGCCGGATCCTGAGAGTACGAATTGGTCGATGGAAGACTTATATTTGGACCTTGAAACAATGTTTAAGTCCATCAACGAGGCTTTCCTGACTTGCTGGCAGAATACGAAGACTTCCCGATAGATGCTACAGTCGACCACGACAGGTTCTCTTCCTCTGATCTTGAGCGGGGCTTCGAAGCACTCATGCAAACGACTGGTCAAATTCTACACCTGCTTAGACTGAATACACCAAGGACAGTCTACAGAGCATCCTCCAGGTTCATCAAGGTCACAGTAACCTTGTTGCTCGACCCACCCAACACACCACCCCCGTTCAGCAAGAGCATACGCGGGTCCTCATCCAGAATCCGCAGCGACCGGGTATAACTGTGCGACTCGGGAGTAGCAATCTCCGTCCACTCGCCCTCTCCCAGCGCCTGGTTGGTGAACACGGTGCTCTGCGATCCCGAGCTCACGATGATGGTTCCGTTGACGCCGCCGTACGGGGTCCAGACGACATAAGGCGAAGACGTGGGGACCGTGCCGCTGGACACGACGAGGCGCTGGTGCGGAGCGGACAGGAAGTCCTCTGGGTTCTCGGCGATGCGGTAGTAGACCGGGAAGGAGTAGCTGGAGGTGTTGAAGAAGGAGCCGTATTCGTAGGTGTAGATGTATTTGCCGTTGGGGAGCTTGGCGACGACGGGCATGCCGGGGCGGTCGGTGTAGGTTGGGTAGGCACTGTGATCAGGTTAGCCTCGTTCTAGCTCCAGTGTGATGTGTCAACATACACATCGTCAACAACAGGTCCCCATTTCTTGAGATTTCTCGAAACCTGGTGGACCAGCTTCTGGCCGTGGGTGGTGTTGGCTCTCTGGTCGGAATAGTAGCAGATCAACTTGCCATCACTGTCAAAGACGGTTAGCACTGGACTTGAATGGCTATTACCCAATGGAGACTTACCGAGCAAGCAGGAAAGGCTCCCACACAGGCGTCAACCCGTTGTTGGGAATCGCCTCCCCGCCAGCGGCGATGTGGCTCACAAACTCCCACGTCACACCGGAATCCCGCGACGCATACAGCTCAATGTGTGTCGACGACAAATCGGTGGGAATAGCGCTGCCCGCCAGCAGCAGTGTTCCGGCCTTGTACGACCCAATGCGCTCGGGAAGATAGTACAGGAACGGCTGGTAGCGCAGTCCGTACCCATACACCTGGTCGTGGACCTGCGAGATCTCCTTCCAGGTCTGCCCGTGGTCCTTGGACCGGTAGATGGGGAAATACACGGCCGGGGGTTCCGGGGAGTAGTTCTCCCAGGTGGCCAGGAGGTCCCCGTTGGGCAGCTCCACGTTGCGCGCGTACAGGGTCCGTGGAATGGTGTAGTTCGACGGTGGACTGAAGATGGTCACCCCGTCGTAGGTTGGGATGGTGGCCCGATGGATGCTCGCGGCCAGGGCCAGAGGCGCGAGAGCGAGAAGGCGAAGGAGGGTCATTGTCGGTCACGAACTTGTGTGCTCGACAGCTTGAGGTGCCAGATGTTCCTGTTGGCTGCCGCACCCCGGCTTTTATAGTCGGCCATTGCGACAATCACTTCGTCATTCTTCAATTGAACGATAATTAAACGAAAGTATCTTTCAGCGAGGAAGAGAATCGAAAATGCGGAGAGAGCTTCATCCCGCCGGAGTTGTCCCCAGTACGGACTTGCCTAGAACCGTAACTGGGCAACAAGCTAGCCACTCTCGGAATTTCCATCAATCGTATTCCTGCGTCTCAGAGGCAAGTCAAGAGAGACTGACGGATTGTCATTGTGGTCAAGAAGCCAACGGTGCCGAAGCCGTGGAAACAAGGATAGCAGCATACAATAAGACTCAAAAGGAGGCATAAACAGCTCCTTCAGGTCAGCGAACGGTCTTATCAATAAGCGGACGATCCTCGGCAGAGGATCTCGATCTCTTCAGCTCTCAGACAGAAAGAGAGGAATGATCATCATTGGTCAATGCAGGATCATGCGATGCAACTGCGATACGTATCTGCTCGGAGAAATACCTCGGAGAAATGCTCAGGTTGGCTTGAACAACACTGACTGTTGTCTGGAGCTGACTCCATTGGGACAAAGAAGTGGAGGTGGAGACGTATTCTGGGGGCGATATTTAGTGTGGATTAGCCTGTGTGATGCGGGGAATCAAGACAGGAGCTCGTTGAGACTGAAAAAAAGCATACTAACTAGTGAATGGCATGATCCCAAGGGGAAATGAGGTGGAGGAGATCAAGGGAAAGCTATGGAGAAGATAGCTGACAACCCTATTCTCAGCACATGACAGCACCCCTTGCTTAGGTGAAGACGTCATGTTTGCTATCACTCGGAGAATTCCAAGCCTTCAGTCTAGAGGTTACACAAATCGTCGACTGTGATGAAAACAAACTCTGGCTTTCTTTGCGAGTTGAGTCTCGTTGATGCTGGACAAGAGCCAATGGGAGAAATATACCGTTGATGACGAGACTCAACTCCAACAATGCCAATCCGAATTGATCCATGATTGCTGATGTTGAGCTACGTATTCCACAAGGCTATTTATTACCCTCACAAGCCAGGCGAGAATATTCAGACTGAAAAACTGAACCATTTTTTCAAAGATTTTGTACTCCGTTTTAACATTATGCAAATCCCACAGACTCAAACTGTAGCTCTTGTCTCCCAACTCGGAGGCAAGGTGGAATTTGACGATCAGTATCCAGTCCCTGTCCCAGGCCAAAACGAGGTGCTGGCAAAGGTCCTCTACACCGGTGTTTGTCAGAGTGGTGAGTTCACCCAGTCTCAACTTGAGTCAATCTCCTAAGCATGCAGACCTCCATACCAAGAGTGGAACTGCAGCTGGTGCCGATGGCAACCCCATCACAAACATCAAGCTTCCTCATGTCGGTGGGCACGAAGGAGTCGGTCAGATTGTGGCATTGGGTCCTGGCTGCGGACCTGACTTGAAGGTTGGAGGTCTGGTGGGCATTCGCTTCGCCAGTCGTATCTGCAGACGATGCGAGTTCTGCCTCGCCGGGACAGAACAGTATTGCATCAAAAGTACCAACCATCTGCACCATGAGGATGGGAGCTTCCAAGAGTACATTGCCCTCGACGCGGACTATCTCACAATCCTGCCGGACGATATCGATCCGAAGGTCATCGGGCCGGTCTTGTGCGCTGGTGTGACGGCTTACAAGGTTCGCAAGCCCCCTTTGGTTTTGTGACCTTCTAACATGATAGGCCGTTCTCAACGCCAACGTCAGAGCGGGCAACTGGCTCGTTGTAGTCGGTGCTGGAGGGGGCCTCGGACATCTCGCGGGTAAGAGGGTTATCACTCGAGCCACAGACCATGATACAGCCCAGCTGATCCTGCTTCAGTTCAATACGCAAAAGCCCAGGGCGCGCTGGTTATCGGAATCGACGCTGGCGATAAACGTGACTTTGTTCTCGGACTGGGTGCTCTCGACTTCATCGACTTCAAATCTACCGACCCTGTGCAGCGTGTTCACGAAATCACTGGACTTGGGGCACACGCTGTGGTCGTGACAGCCGGCAATGCGAAAGCTTTTGCCCATGCATGCGATCTGTTGCGCGTCGGTGGCACACTGAGCTGCGTCGGCATTCCCCCAGGACGTCCTGTGCTGGAGACCCCCATCTGCACCATTGTCATCAAAGGGCTCAGAATCACTGGTAACCTGGTTGGCTCGCTCAAAGAATGTATGGAAGCGGTTGAGTTGGTCCGTCGTGGAGTGGTCAAACCGGAAATCAGAGTACGGCCATTCAGGGATTTGCCTCAGGTGTATGAGGAAATGGAGAAAGGCGATATTTCAGGAAGAATTGTCCTCCAGATTACAGAGTGACCTTTGTCTTTGGCTAGTGTCTCTTGATTGCTGCATAAGAAATGGTACTTTCGATCAATGAACGCGGTCAGCTTGCAGCGGTCAAAGAATAGTCTGAGATATTCTCCTCTTCCACATCTGGCCTGGTAACAAGCCCGACACCCAAACGAGCAGGGGCCATCACCAAAGCCTCGGCTGTTTTCGCACGAAGAATTGATTTCAGCACCGGATCCTGCTCCAGAAAGGGCAGAATCTTCTGATATAAAGCGTGTAGGAGGTCTTGAGGCCCGGCCTGTAGGGCATTCGAAAACGACCTTGGAGGAGTATAGATGACGATATCTGCCAGAGAGTTGGCAACCTCAAAACACTTCAATAGCTACATCTGGCGTCATTGCCTCTTTCGACAAGAATCTTGAAGTAGTCTGCATGAGACTCACCTGGTCTCGACCCAAGGGCAGCAAGTCTGTCTCTGTCAGTCCTTGCAGGGACATCAACAGATCACGACCGACAACTGCAGGGAATCGAAAGGTCATCACCTCGGTGGTAGATGTTGAAGATAGCAGACGCTGAGATAGTGCTTCCTGCCAGACAATAGTTTTCATCCATTCTCTGGTGATGTAACAATCCGCCAGCCGTGTGGATGCCTGATCTGAGTTAAAGGCTAGAGCCGACAGTGCTGCTTCTGTTTCAGCTAGACTAGCTACAGATAGAGCTTGAGCCGAGTTGGACCTAGTGCATCGTCGTGTTTGAATCTTGTCGAATGTGACAAAGAGTTTGAAAAGCTCGAGTAACCCCCGCGCATGAGTGTTCATTGCCAAATGTGCTGCGTCTGGAAGCTCAACTGGATCATTATATGAAGGCCTCACACCAAGATGCATAGCATATCCTCTGACCTGCATCAGTACCAGCGAAACTGCTCATTGTGCTTAAAGACCTACCTCTCAGACACCCACAGCAACAGAAACAAAATCTCCTCATTTGCAACAACACCGTCGGTAAAGGCAACATTCCGATCTTTCGTGTCCAATCCTAAAAGTCTCCCGCTCGCGATAGCCTCCTGTATAAACAGCATAGCCGACTTCCGCTGGTTAATCTTTGCATGATACACATGCAGAAAGAACGAAACAAGCACACCCTTGGCGTCGAGGTTCTCCCTGTAATCACTCCGCTCCCGAAGTCGCATACACTCCAATTTGAGCAGGCCACTGTCCACGGTCTGGTTATCGCCGCCGGCCAAGGGAGCAAGCTGCAATTGTGCCATCGTCGCGGCACACAGCGCCAGCGCTAAGCAAAGCGTCTGCGCATCGTGGGTGCCGTCCTCCAACTGTTGCAAAAGCGCATCTGCGTTGACCACCGGCCAAACACTGTGCGAGAAAGTCTGGTACAGGCGCACGATATAGACCAGTATCGTTATGGGAATGCATGTCTCCTTTCTCCAGCCCCACGCAGACAGGGACTCATCACCCTCAGCATCAGCATGAACGGCAGCATGATTTACCGGACGATTCTCGACCGGATGGGCTCTTATAGCAGCTTCCTCCGTATGAACATGGCCAATCGATCCATCACTGGCGGACCTGCCCTTGTTGGTACGTCGTCGCACTTTAGGTCCCCTCCTTCCCGGTGGCTTGAGGTACGTGCAGTCTACCTCCTTGGGCGCTTTCTGGCAAGTATCGCAAGGCCAGGAGCCGCTGCACTTCACCTTGCGAGATATGCACTCGTCACATGCTCTTTTGGTGAGTTGTCGGCGCATCCGATCCAGGTATTCCTGTTTTCTCTACTATCAAAGTGATTTGAAAGTGTCATGGAAGAGAAGTTCGTGTTCAAGCACCCCCTGTAGATGAGGGGAAACCGCGCCGTCCATGCATGCCGGACAGACATTGGTGGGAAAATGAGATTCTGACCAGCATAAACCATTGCCATACTCTGTATGCTGAAAACCTCAAATTGAAATTCCCATACACTCTTTGTAGGATATATATCCTCAAGTAAAGATATCGAAGCTCTCGGTATCGCCATGTCTACTTCACCGACGTCATGAAGACCCCGCAGCGGGAGGACCTTCCCTAATTTCAGATATCTTCCATATGCGACAATCGAAAACTACATAATCTCACCGAAATCACCAGCTTTTATATACCTCATTTCTTCATCTTCTCTCCCGCTCACATCCCACACACTTCCTCCTCAATACACACTTTAGACCCTTCAAAATGGACGACAGACCGCTCGGCCCAACCAGCACAGACGTACGCCAGCTCCCACATATCCCAAGTCCCACAGCACTGTCAACCCCTCAACGCTAACCGACACACATGCTAATGAGGAAACACCAGGTCCGCGATCTCGCCGCCCAGGAATCCTCCGCCGCGGTGATCTTCCCCTCCTTCACCTCCACAACAGCCTGGTCGCTCGGCCTCGCCCTCCGCGAACGCATCCTCTCCCTCCCCGCCGACCAGCGCAAACCGGCCCTGATCTCGATTACTCTGACCGGCGGCTCCGAGCCCCATGTTATCTTCCAGTGCGCGACAGAACCGGGCACGGTCGCCGATAATGAGGTGTGGGTGAGGCGGAAGCGGAATACCGTGCTGCGCTGGGGCGTGTCGAGCTGGTTGATGCGGAATAAGATGCTGGCGAGTACGGGGCTCAGTGCGTCCGAGGTAGAGGAGGCGTTTGTGAAGAAGTACGCGCTCACAAGCTCGAGTGGTGGTGCCGCTGATGACTATGCCATCCACGGCGGTGCGTTCCCTGTCCGGGTCAGGGGCGTTGATGGTGTGGTGGGAGTCGTCGTTGTCAGTGGGTTGAAGCAGGAGCACGATCACCAGGTCGTTGTCGAGGTGGTTCAGGATTACATCCAGAAGAACAGCGATTGAGCTGTCTGTATATCATCAGGCTGTTGGCATATTGTGGATAAGAAAGTACATAATTTGGTTAGGCTCGATTGAGCAAACGATTTCTATAGTACGTGAAAAATCTAGTCAAAAGGATAGCACATATCAATGAGGTATCATCTATTTGGCCTCTATAATACACCGAGGCGACTCTGGCTTATTCCCAAAGGACAATCCATAACGAATCAATTAACAAATCAAAACTCCGTAAATCCCTCTAAAGTTATTTTACAGCTCGTCATGTCCGCTGGGCTCCTCATCCTCATCTGCCGGTGCAGAGCCATACAGCTTGCTGGTGATGGGGTAGGCCACATTGGACAGTTGCTCCTTCTGCTCCTCAAAGTCCTCGGTGGTGGCCGTGGCAGCGTTGTCCTCCAGCCAGTCGGTCACCTCCTTGACAGCATCCAAAATAGTCTGCTTGTCATCCTCATCGATCTGGCCACCAAGACCGTTCTCGTCGTTGACCTGGTTCTTCAGGCTGAAGGCATAGTTCTCCAGCGAGTTGCGGGCCTCAATCTTGGCCTTGATAGCCTTGTCCTCCTCGGCGAATTCCTCAGCCTCGGCGACCATGCGGTCGATCTCCTCTTGGGACAGACGACCCTTGTCGTTGGTGATGGTGATGGACTCGGCCTTGCCAGTACCCTTGTCGCTGGCGCTAACCTTCAGGATACCGTTGGCATCCAGGTCGAAGGAGACCTCAATCTGAGGCACGCCACGAGGGGCAGGAGGGATACCAGTCAGCTCGAACTTGCCGAGAAGGTTGTTGTCCTTGGTCAGAGAACGCTCTCCCTCATCTGAGACAGTCAGTCAGTAATGTCTCCAATCAAGTCACAGTGGCAAATACTTACAAACTTGGATCAGAACGGTGGGCTGGTTGTCAGCGGCGGTCGAGAAGATCTGAGACTTGCGGGTAGGAATGACAGTGTTGCGGGGAATGAGCTTGGTCATGACACCACCGGTGGTTTCAATACCCAGGGTAAGAGGGTTGACGTCCATGAGAACGACGTCGCCAGTACCTTCCTCGCCAGAGAGAACACCACCCTGAACGGCAGCACCGAAAGCGACAGCTTCATCGGGGTTGATACCCTTGGAGGCCTTCTTGCCACCAAAGAACTCCTCGAGGAGAGCCTGGACCTTGGGAATACGAGTGGAACCACCGACCAGAACAATGTCGTTGACATCAGACTTCTTGACCTTGGCGTCCTTGAGCACCTGCTCAACGGGCTTCAGGGTCTTCTTGAACAGATCCATGTTGATTTCTTCAAACTTGGCGCGAGTGAGAGTCTCCGAGAAGTCCTGGCCGTTGTGGAAGGATTCGATTTCAATGCGAGTGGACATCTGGGAAGACAGAGTACGCTTGGCCTTCTCGACTTCGCGCTTCAGCTTACCCATGGCCTTGAGGTCCTTGGTGACATCAACGTTGTTCTTCTTGTTGTATTGCTTGACGAAGTAGTCCATGACGCGGTGGTCAAAGTCCTCACCACCAAGATGAGTGTCACCGGCAGTAGCCAAGACCTCGAAGACGCCGTTGTCGATGGACAGGAGGGAGACATCGAAAGTACCACCACCAAGATCGTACACGATGACCATACGCTCATCACCAGTCTTGTCCAGACCGTAGGCGATAGCGGCGGCGGTGGGCTCGTTGACAACGCGGAGAACGTTCAGGCCGGCAATGGTACCAGCGTCCTTGGTAGCCTGTCTCTGGGCGTCGTTGAAGTAGGCGGGAACAGTGACAACCGCGTGGGTAACCTTCTTTCCAAGGTAGCCCTCAGCGATCTCCTTCATCTTTCCAAGAACCATGGCGGAAACCTCCTCGGGGGTGAAGACCTTGGGGGTCTTGTTGACTTCGACCTTGACGACAGGCTTGCCATCCTTGTTGACAACCTTGAAGGGGAAGTTCTTGGCGTCCTTCTGGACATCCCTGTCATCGAACTTGCGTCCAATCAGACGCCTGGCAGAGGTTAGCACAAACTCTTCAGCTATCGAAAACCCGATGAGGAGACACTCACTTAATATCAAAGATGGTCCGGGTAGGGTTCGAGGCGTATTGGTTCTTGGCGGCGTCACCAACCAGGCGCTCCTCATCAGTGAAGGCGACATAGGAGGGAGTAATACGATTTCCTTGGTCGTTGGCGATGATCTCAACCTTTCCGTTCTGCATCACACCGACACAGGAGTAAGTTGTTCCAAGATCGATACCGATGACTATGGACAGCACCAAATTAGCACACGAATGCTATATCTTCAGGAACAGAATATTTAACACGTACCAGTGCCATAGTTGTCCTGTACTGAGTCTTCCTCAGCGTGTGCTGTTCCGAGAAGGGCCAGAGGCGCAATGAAGACAAGGAGGAGGTAGAAGACAGTGGTCCAAGCAGTGAACGGCTTGGCCGCGCCATTGCGACTCGATAGTCGCGCCATGATAAGTATGTGAGGTTTTCAAAGGAGTCCCTCCACGATAGGACGGGTAGAAAATCAGGATGTTTCAATCCAGGCGGCTGAGGATACGTGTATATCTCCCAAAACACGTTCCAAAATCCCCGAGGCCCTGTAAACACACTTCCCTACAGTGTAAAAGGAAGAATGACAAGACAGTGAAGGATTAGGAGAAAAAGAGAAGCAAGCGAGAGGCGACCGGGTTGTCGAAGGTGCGAGTTGAAGAAAGAAAAGGAAGAAGAATGTCCAGGAAGCTACGGCCAGCTTTGTTCTTCTTGTATGGGTTGGCGGCGGCAAAGAGAACGCAGCGGCCATGCTGGCCTTTTCACGGGTGCTGCATTTAAGGTTACTTCTCGCCCTGTGATTGGCTGTGGCAGGTCCGATGGGCTGAAGACTGAGTCAGCAGGGTCATTCACCGCCCGAGTTCTGCCGGCGAAACCCCGAGGCGTTCATTAACTGCGGATACCCAAAAGGGAAATCTGGGCTCAGTGGCCAGGGAAATGTGGAGCAATCGATCGAAATTGCTAGAAGAGGACACTCTTGCTCCTCCCAGTTGAAACAATAATAGGTGGCATATTGGCAGTTCTTGATACGTGGACAATATCCAATGGTTACTGCATCAAACGGAGTCAAACTCAGGACAGTACCCTGAAATCTCAGACTGAAGAATATCATCACACACACTATTGGATACCAAGTGGACAGCTGGTCAATAGCCTTACAGGCTTACATTCTTGTAGTCCTACGGAGTAACCCCGTAATTCCTAAAGAGTCAAGATACCCTCCCATTCCTCAAGCGGGTTGAAGCGCCTCAACCGGCTAGGCAAATCGCTCCCCGGATTTGATAAGTACGCCATTGAAACTTACTATGAATTTGCATCGAGTTCCTCTGGTATATGTCTTTCTCTCTCTATGGACTAAGCCCAATATTTGGTGACATTTTGGAAAAGCATACAATGAAGCATAGCGATTTACTGGAGGATATGCAATATAGATAGGCTATTACAACATTCTTCCCTAAGTCATCAATATTCTAGTGGTATCTCTATGTTTCAATATACCTCTATCAATGTCCTCGGCATCATTCAAGCAACCCAGCAGCCACTGTGTCGCCTCCTGATCGTAGAACAATCCTCGTAGGTGCTTCCAGAGGCACTGCCTGGTCCATCTCAACCACAATGCGTGCTACAGTGCCAGGCGCAACAATCTTAGGCTTCTTCTTGATCACCGAGCCAGAGCCCTTGTCGAGCGTTGCGACCAAGCGGCTGATTCGTCCCGGAACATGCAGGCGTCCTCGGTGGATATCTACCATGCTAGGCATCAGATGATCGAACGCGAGCACCTTTGCTGTGAAAGAGGTGATATTCGCGATGGGTGCTGAGGGACGGCAAATAACATCGCCAGACCGAAGATGAATAGGGTCGATGTTCGCCAGATTGAGAATCACGTTCTGACCAGCCACAGCCCAGTCACTCGGCTCGCCGTCCACTTCCAAGCTTCGAATGGTAGCCGTCTCCCCGCTAGGCATAGTCAGGATTTGGTCGCCCATTTGCAGGCTACCGGTATCAATCCGGCCAGAGATCGAAAGAGGATTCTGCACACTGCCACGGAAGACATCGCTGATCGTCATGCGCAATGGCTTGTCCAGCGCATAGCTGTAAGGTTCGGTTGCCTCCAGCTCTTCGACCAAGGTACGGCCCGTGTACCACGAGGCATTCGGATCATCGGTGCGTCGAGTGACATTGTCTCCTCTTATGCCCGAGCAGGGAACGAAGGCGATATTCTTGGCCTGAAACCCAGCTGTCGTCAGAAATGACGAGATCTGTTGTTCAATCTCCTCAAATCGGTCCCGGTTCCATTCCACCGCGTCCATCTTATTCACAGCAACGATGATTCTTTGCACGCCCATACTCCGCACCAACAAGGCGTGCTCCTTGGTTTGGCCCCTCAACCCCGACTCGAAATTTCCGGTGCCAGAGTCGATAACGAGAACAGCAAAGTCTGCCTGGCTGGCCCCTGCAATCATGTTCGGAACAAAATCTCTGTGGCCTGGAGCATCCACAATCGTGAAGACAGTATTCTCCGTCTCGAACTTGTTCGTCGCAATGTCGATTGTGACACCTCGGGCTCTCTCCTCTGTACCCTGATCAAGTACCCATGCAAGGGCAAAAGATCCTTTGCCAATCTTCTCGGCTTCCCGCTGGTACTTCTCCAATGTCCGCTGGTCAACAGCTTTCAAATCCGCCAGTAAGCGTCCCATAAGTGTGCTTTTTCCTGCATCAACATGACCTGACTTCCCCGTCAGCGGCGTCCACCATGGTATGAGATGAGTACTGACCGATAACCGCAAAGTTCATTGCCCTCTTCAGTTGAGATTTATTGTACTCGGACAAGACATCCAAATTCTTGCTCTTGACAGCCACCTTCTCCTCCACACTAAGGTTGTTCATGCCACCAGCCAGGTCACCCTGGTTCTTCTTGTCGCCTGCTGACTTTCCCGCAGGTTGTTTCGACTTGAAGCCTGCCTATCCATTAGGGAACAATTTATATCTTTCTCCGAATAGCCAAACCTTTAGCTGAGCTCTGAGCGTTGAGAACCACGTCATCCGGGCTGGGACCTGCAAAGTCAAACGGTTCAGTAAGATCCTGTCCGTAGATCTGCATGAGATCAACTGTGTTTGAATACAAGTGGCTGGGCTCGGTCATTGGGGGCCGCGTATTGGCTCCGACGATAGTGCTAGCAAATGTAGATGGTGGTGCGCGAATATTGACTGTGGGCTGCTCCTTTTCCTCTTCGGCGACAGATAGTTTCCTCGCTGCAAGTTCAGCTGGAATCATCCCTGGACTCTTTGGCTTGATAGGCTCAGGCGATCGCTTCTTCTGAGCTACAGGACTCTCGGGATGTGTCCCTCTCCCCAGTGTACGAGGCAATTGCCCACTCTCCGACGGTTTCTGCGCCTTGCCATTACCTGCAAGCCTTTCCCGTAAGGAGAGAGAAGCTAGCTTGGACTCCACCGGTGCTTTTTCGGGCGTACCAGCCATGGCAGGAGTTGTCGGTACAGTTGATGCGGCTTTGTCACTCTCTTTCTTCTTGCGCGCAGCAGCCAAGGCTGCCAACTTTGACACTTTTCCACTACTCTCAGGAGCGCCTCCAAGTAAGCCCAGTCGAGGATAAAGAGGCTCGATAAGGATCTCCGCTTTGCGATGTGCGGGAACGTTGAGCCATGGCGAATCGCGAAAGAAGTCCTTGGCCGAGAAATGGGAGGACAGTGACGACGCGGCAGGAGGTACAGGGTATGCCGGCACTGAGAGACCTGTTAGAACATTGAACACTCAAAATTCCAAGATGGCGTCAGTCCGACTATTCAGAACGTCCAAGGAAGGAATGATATACTCACTACCGTTTCAACACAGAGTCGCAAACTTTGCGGGTGATCCGAGCCCAACCACAAGCAAAGAGAGAAAGACAAATACTGTATAGCAAAGAGCTTACCTTTTCCCTTGACCGCTACCGGAGGAGCAGCGCTCTGCTTCTTCTTAACCTCTTTCGCTTTCTTCCCTGAAGCACAGTGGCCCGAGTCAGCCTCCTCTCACCACGTTCAGCCAGTCTCCAACAGCATCCATCCAACCCACCTCGTAGGTAATTAACCGACTTCTCGACATCGTTATAGTAATGCCACAGCGCCTCTTGAACTTCATCCCGAGTCGCCGTTAAAGAGGGTTCGCCGGAAAGTAACTGGGCAAGCACTTCCGCCGTACACTGCTCGAGGATCTCTTGCTCTTCCGGGTCGGGAGAGTCATATCCGTCCTCATCGTAGTCATCGTCATCGTAACTCACGTTCTTCATGCGGTGCCGCGACATGGTGATTGTACTTTGTATCAAAGTTTGAGAGGGCGGGGCAGCGGGCTCGCGAGGGGTATCTCGGTGTGAGTCGGGGTGGGAGTTCAGAAGCAGATACTTGACAGAAAAGAGTGTAACACTGCTATAATTCCCTGAGACTTTTGCCAATCTTACAGTATCAGGTACGTTCTTTGAGAGGGAGGTAGCGGAAGAGTGATGAACAGGGGAGAGCAAGAGTTCCGCTGGATTGTTGTGAAGGTGAGAGGTTCAAGGCCACCACGTCATTCTCCACTCTGTTGTTGCTGTCGCTTCTGAGTATTGCCGTCAGGTTATGATGCGCTACCAAGACGTATGCGTATACGGAGATAGAGATAAATTCAATTTTGTTTGTTCAATTTTAATGCAAGTCTAATGGATGAAGTCGCTCGTTGCATAACCGGGGGTTTCTATCACTCCATCGGATATACAGTGTGGTAACGATGTCTCTATGAATAGTCTCAAGCAATTCAAAACCGCTCTACATGATCGGGATAGGTACAGTACATCATGTCCATATATCCCTTCTATCGTATGCCATGTGCATGCCTGATCATGAAATGCCCTCGATGAAAGATCGCAATTCCTTCTGTGGTGCATGCGCAACAACTACTTCAGTGGGCTTCCCCCGAAGAAATCCCCTGCTCCTGGTCCACCAAAGGTGCCATTGCTCGGCGTAAGAGCAATCGAACGTCGGAATGCCTGTCGAGGAGTCGCTGGGGCGCTGGCCGTGGCTGTGGCGGCACCCCCAACATCAGGTGTGCTAGGTGTGTTGCGACCGCTGCTATTCTGTATAGTCACCGCCGTGCCTGGTCTAGAAAGAACCGTCGCGGCGCCATTCCGAGGTGGCGGTCTGAAACCGAGTTTGGATCCTTCGCGGAAAATTTCTTCTAAAATCTGATTCACAATACCTGCGTCCTCGTATTCCTGGAACTTCTTCCACAAACGAAGCGCCATGCGTGCATCTTCAATCGAGTCGTGGCCCTGGTTATTGTCGGCCGGTTCTTCTTGGATGTATTCTTTGAACACAGCCCAAGCCAAATATCGGAGGCTAAGCCGCCGGTTCTTGCCAGGGTGGAAGTAAAGGTATTGTGTGTCAACCGTCTGGCTCTTAGGGACCTGTATGTTGATCTTGCGAAAGTCGGAAGCGAGACCGTGACCGACAAAGACGCATCCCATGTTGAGAAGCAGCCATAATTTCTTGTAAGCAACCTTGAGAGGGACCAGATTGTGCTGACTGGTCCTTGGGTCTAAGTCACCAGGCTTGATACCGGAATATTGAGTGACATAGTCGACAATCGGCTCTTTGATTGTAATGTAGTCATCGATGAAAGGCACTCCCTCATGGACTCCCGACCCGCGAAGGACGGATACTCGAGCAAGACCACTTTTACTCGGTCGCACAATTTCCTGTGATCCGTCGGCTTTCACATCGATCTCCGCTTTCTCGAGGTCGACAAATTCGGTGTCAAGAGCAACAGGAGTGCCAGGAGTTGGCTTCTCCTCTTCCGTAAGTGTCTGGCGTGTTTCCACGGCACGGCCACCACTAGGGAGTCTCGTTAGTACAAATAATGTCAGCCTGCATGTAATCTCACTCACTTCAATGACCACTCGCGGAAAAGAAGAGTGGTATCCAGGACATTCTTCCAGGAGTCATCGACCGCATGACGGGCATCCTTCGCCTGATACGCCAGGACACACGGCGATTTCCATGGTTGATTGAATCGAAGAGCCTCATCCTTGTCAACTTCTGTCACAAGGAAGTCATTAAACAAATGCCACCTGTTCTTCGCCTCCGGCTCGCGAGAGGAGATAGAGACATTGATGAACGACACCAAGTGCGGTTTCTGATGCTCAGGAATGTCGATCTCTGAGACAAGGCCCACTAACTCATACACCATAAGATTAGGCAGCTTGTTCTGCAACTGGGCCATGAGCTCGTCTCCTTCGAAGCACATAACTTGGCCGTTTTCAACGACAATGCCTACCTCCTCGGGCAACCAGCCCGGGATCGACCATAATCTCCGGCAAATTGGGTTACTGAGAGCCGCATTGAGTATCAAGACCAGAGGCATGCGATGAATAGATTTTCTTATGGTCACTTGCTGATAGCGCCGGCAATAGTTACACCATCCTCTGTTCTGCGTCTCTCGCTCAATACTTGCTCGCAGGATATTCGAGAACCGGAAGGCTGGGTTTCTGCGAGCTTGTTTGATGTCAATGGCCGGGTAAATTAGCTCATTGGCTAAGGAGTTTCCAGGTCTGACGATCTCGTTCTGGCAGAACATGCATCGAATTGATTCAGACGCGATGGTCGCAAGTCTTTGGTCTAGATCATCGGAGTTTGGGAGAATCATACGGAAGTCGTGGGCGATTTGGTTAAGGAAGAATCTATTCACAGACTGAATGGCGGAAGAAAGTGATTTGGTGGTTAAATTCTCCTCGAACAGGCCGAGATTCGAAGCTTCACGATAGCTGCTGAAAGTTTTCAAAAGATTAGTGGCTTGACAGTTCTGTCCATTAGCTTTCTCAAGCATGTCGAACAGGTATCCCATCTCGCACAGGAGACAGGTCTCATATATACAGGTGCTCGCTGCGTGGTGAAGTGCGAGGTTCCGCACCAGAGGAATGAATTTGAGGAGTTGGAGGAGCGCGTTCGTGAAGGAGTTGGCGATGTGTGTTTCCAACCCGGAGAAGGTGGTCTGATTATAAAATCTGCCGCAAGGTTGGATGAGTCTTCTCAGAATCGAAGGCGTTGGAACGTTCTTACCTAAAATCAAAGTCGTCCACACCAAACCGACTGTATTTGATTTCGACATTGCTGTACTTTAGTAAAGGATCGTCTTCGGCTTCTACATTGAGCTTCGCGCCTGCGAGAGCCTCGGCCGTGTCGCTCACGGAGGCTTCAGATTTAAATTTGCTTTGCTCCCTTGCCTTCTCACTTAAGAACTTGGGAGCGATAAGAGCCGATTCGGCGGTTGTCATTGCACGGGTATTTTCGACTTGATAACGCCGTGTCTTCTTCGGGTTCGGCGCGTAATGCCCCATTTCCGCAGGACGAAGATAGGGGATGAGACTCTGGTCGATGGGGGCAGGAGGACTGCCGACTTCGAAGACAAGATGACTAGGCCACGCAGAAAACAATCGTTCACGATAGTATGGCATCCCAATCATATTCAAGGGTGTGTCTGGAGACCAGTCAAGGGGAGGCGGTCGAGGAGCGACATCTGCGAACTCAACTTCCTTGCTCATCTCATTGAAATGAATCTTGGAGGGTGAGCCCCACAAATGAATGGAACATTCCGCATCGTTAATAGCCAGAGCTTCTCCAGATGGCGAAATGTCAATCCCCAGCATGAAAGATACATTGGCTTGGCGAAGGTTGATCGCATTGGGGTTCATCAGATCAACCACCTGCAGCTGGCCAGTCTGAGAAGCAACAAAGCTCGTCGTGTGTAGCTTTGGATGCATGCGCACGTACGCAGCCCCAGCATGAAAGGGGATGGGAGGTAACGGCGAGAGTGTTTTCAAATCGTATACGTTGGCCAGAGGGTCCACAATCGGGGAGCCCAGGTGTCTGACCGAGAAGCCGCAGGTAACCAATAGATCGTTGCGAGCATCCATATCATTGATTGCCGTCCCATGTGATTTCCAAGACTTCACCACCCGAAAATCCGTCAGGCTCAACGCGTTGACCGATCCCGTATCCGTCGCGGCACAGAGATACCGACTCTTCTTCATCATAGTATAGTTGTGATCTGTATGCAGCTTGTCGACAATGATTCCCTTGTCGATGTCAATCGTGAACATCGCCCTCTGACATCCCGCAACAATGATCTTGTTAAGCTGCGCGGTGAAGCTCATGCAGTAGAGATCCGTCATCTCCTCGTGACTGAGATGCCATTGCGTGAGTCCACGCCGCGTAATCATGTGCACACTCTTTGGCGACAACGATATGACGCCCCTCTCATGAAACAGAATTTGTCGGACAGGGCCATCTGATACTGGGTGAGCGCGAACAGATGTGTAGCGTTGAAGTTCGGGACCGTAAAATGAGGTGATTCGGCCCTAGTAACCGCAGCCATATATCATCAGCATTGGAAGCAACTTCCCAGAAGCAGCAGAACTTACGAACTCATTGCCGGCCCAAAGTAACTCTGACACATCGTCGAATGCTATTGTCGTCGCGACGGTCGGCAGACCATGCGGGCTCGGAGGAGGCACCGGAATGCGCGACAATTCGTCCCAATCGGCCTCCATTGCCTAAGCATCCCAGATGGGATAGACTCGAATACAAACGTATGTGTACCAATCGAGAGAAAACGCTTGTAGTTTAGAGAACGAAATGATTTTGCCCATCCAGAAGCAGGGCGAACCAAGACATCGTTCGGTGGAGGCGCGATTGCGGGGAAGCTGTTTTGAGAGGCCTTCTTGTTCAAGGTTTTGGCACAATGATGGGTCAAAAGACTGAGCCGCACTCTTACTGATACTATTGACTGGTCATTTTGAACATAAAGTGAATGAAAGGATGACAATATTGTATCTGATAAGATACCAGGAAACTCTTATGCTGGAGGGCAACAATTACACGATGATGGTGTGGCTATGGAATCACGTGAAAAGCTTCCGTTAAGACGGAGGGGCCCTGATTGGGTCTAGCTTCGCGAGTATGGCTTCCTACCTAAACACGGTGAGGCACTGGCTTTGTACGCATGTTATCTTTCGATGGCTGTTCTATATCATCTTACTGAACGCATACACTTGTAGTACATGCCCTCAATTGCAGCATAGATACAAGTGTGGAATATAGGAATATACGATTCGAAGATTGCAAACATGACGACAAGCGTTTTGCACGAAACCGAGCCACGCAGAAGCTCATTATACCTCATGAAAGTGAAACGAAGAAAAAGCTATGAGGCTCATAGAAGAGATACACAACGAATATGCCACCGCTGGACGCACCTACCATTATCGGTAGTACGAAGTAGGATTCGTGTTGGCTGCGCCAGCTTGCGATGGATTGTACGCCTGATACTCCCCTCCACTGGGTGTTCCAGGTGTCAATGAAGGATACGGGGTTGGCTTCGACGCCGTAGTGGGGACTGGTGGTGGCTGGTGCGATGGAGACGGCTGATGAGCGACGGCTGCCGCAGGGTAAGGAGGTTGTTGTAGTGTCTGTTGCGGAGGTTGTGAGGCGAAGCCGGCAGTAGGAGGTTTGGATGCCTCCTCGGGGGGATAACTTGAAGGCGGGTACTCTTGTTGCTGATGCTGGAACTGCTGGTGGACACCAGGTGGAACTTGTGCGCCAGAGGGATAAGGTAACCGCTGGCTTGAAGACGGATGTTCGACAGGTGAATCATACACAGAAGTGCCTAGTTCTTGCGGGTTGTCATATGTAGATTCTGGACGGTGGTGGACAGGCTGGTATGAGTCTGATGGTGGCTGCTGGTGCTGTGGGAAGGACGGACCAGCAGGTGGAGTGCGGCCGCGTGGATCAGGTGAGTGTGATGTTGGAGGATACATGTGCGTCTGGTCCTGTGGCCGTGGGCTGAAGTATCGTTGAGGATCCGACTGTGGAGGACCTTGGGGATAACCAAGAGGCGCGGCAGGTCCAGGGTATCCGTACGGAGACTGGCCGGGTCGAGCATACTGGGGTTGTGCAGGGTGGGACATGGATGCTTCCAGGAGAGATTCATAGTCTCGGCGGGCTTTGATGAATTTCTCATTGAGCTGCGTAAACTCATCTGGTAGATATTAGCCAAAGAACTGCAACGCGGGATTTTTATCGACATACCTTTCTTTTGAGAATACTTCCCGATGAGCTCAATCAACTTGGGGCGAATTGCCAATGTCGAGTGGTACAATGCCGTGATTTCCTCGTTGTCTTGCACATTCAACTCCGAGCTACGAGTGCTCAAAAGCGTAAGAAGCTTCTCGACATTCTTGATTTGCCCAAATACTTCCGCCTCCATTTGGGCTTCTCTCTGCAACTCTTCTACCGTTGGATCTGGCAGCTTCTCCACGTAGTTCAGGGGGAAGATTCCAGTTTGGCCCCTCAATGAGCCCTTCCACCAGTCCTTGTACACGGACTCGAGCACAGCAATAATGTCCCCTTTCCGGAATTGTAATTCACCCGGTTCGGAAGGCTGGAAGTCGAACAGTGCTCTGACCCGAGAAACGGTGGCGGCGGAAGTACCTGATGGCACCGCTTGCGATGTGGCTGCTTGTGTCTGGCTGGCTGGTGCGGAGGTAGACGTGCTAGATTCCGCTTTGGGCTCAGGAGCCGCGCTCGGCTTCTCCCTAATGGAAAGAGCCAGCGCCATCTGCAATTCTTCTTCTTCCTTCTGGCGGTCCGCGTCAGTGATCTCCCGTTTCCCGGGTTTAGACGGAGGCTGTAAATTGGGATCTGAGAATAAGAGGTCAGTCCTTGCATCGTGGGCTTCTTTGCTTGTCCGTGAGCTTACTCTGCGTCTTCAATTTCATGTAGGCCTGCTCCATGATTCCGAAATCGGGGTTGCTGGCAAACATCTGCGCCCACTCCTGCATGCGCTCCAAAATCTTCGGCTTGACTTGCTGATGGGTGTTCTGCAGCGTGTCCTGTCAGTACTATCCACAAGAGACCAGCGCGCTGAGCTCACCCGGTCATTGGCGAGGCGAAGAAGAGCATCCGTGAAACTTCTCGACGCGAGTTCGCGGTGTATTTTTGGGCCACAGTTTTGAGCTAATGCATTGGCCAGCTAGGCAGGAACCGAGCGTCAGACACCAAAGGCAATTATTCCACGTTCGCAAGGAGCGCAAACCTCTAGAGTATACAGTTGCACATTGGCATTTCTGTGTGCCAATCTCTTGATCATCGCAGCAACGGCATCCTTAGCCCTTTTGAGAAGACCCATCAGCATCAACTGCAGTCCCGGACTCGAATCAACGCTCAGTGGCAAACCTACCCTGATTCCTCGGCAGCAACCTTATCGCAGACGTCCTAGAAACCAAGTTTATCCAACATTAGTTCCTCCTTTTGCACACAACTACTAAATTGAAAAGAGTCGCATACGAGGATATACTCCCAGTTCTCGGAGGTCAGGTTCTCGTCCGTCGCCTTAGCTGTTCAAGCAAAAAACTGTTAGCAATCTTCCAACAACATGCAATATACCTGAGCACAACCTGTTTACAAAGGACAAGACTTACCGACTGCATCATCAAATGCGTTCTGTTGTGCGCGAAACATACTTCTTTTCTTGTCTCAACCCTCCAGCCCAGGCAGAACAATTGTGTGTCGGAGATGAGCTGCTCTTTTCGACCCAACGAAATGCCGACGTAGAAGATATTCGAAAAGACCGGTATATAAAGCGGCTTCTAGCAATTGAGGCGATAATCCCTGCTGTCGATGTTTGACGGCAGTGGTTCAGTCCGTCGGCGTCAGCTATGGTAGGTAGCTAGTAGATAGCTCCTGGGGGGTAACGGTTCGGTCGGTATGTGCAGATAGTTTCGGCCTGGGACGGGACGCAGATATTTCAGGATGTCGCAGGATGCTTGGCTAGATGAGCTCTCACAGGAAGCTCAATTCAAAAACAGTTCAGAGGAAGTGGGTGCAAAATGTAAAGGCTGCAACCTGATGCAAAACAGGTGACGATGGACCGCAGCCGCAGGGCAGTGCCCGTGACGCTAACTGGATCCTCCACCCTGAGTCAGCAGGGCAGGGGAAGGCTTCAAATATGACGATGCCGACTCCGTAGCATAGGGCAGTATTCTCCAGTTTGATAGCTGCAACACTACGGATATAGAGGACGGCAATTTCCTTTTCGGTTGAGCAATAAGAACATCACTTGGTAAAAAATCAACACCCCAGATGCAGTAAGACTATTTCTACGTGCCTCGAACCGCTCCTGATGTTATCTACGTCTCTTATCGATTTGGGGGCAACATTCCTTGAGCTAATCAGTATAAAATAGATCATATTGCATGACTCTGCATTGTCATGAGCACTATAGAAACTAGAAGACGCTCAAGACCTTGCTCTTAGTCGCTGCATTGACTAGTACAGGTATGTCTTTGAATGATCATCAGCAAAGAAAGGTTTGTACACTTTTCGGACAGCTGTGGCGTGCGGTTGAATCAAAATGGCCCGTCGTGAAGAATAGCAGTGACTATAAGCAGAGCATCAGATCATTCAGTGGAAAGAGAGAGTGGATGAGAACCGAGTACAGCGGACAAAAGTCTACAGAGATAGTACAGGCTCAAGAACCAAGCTCAAAATACTTCAGTCAAGCTCCCACACAAAACAGTCGACATGAGCACCGGCACATAGCTGTAGCAGCAGAATAATAGGAGCTAAGGCACATGACATCATTCAACTCAATGATGGCGTGCACCTTTCTCCGGCGCACATCCATGCTACAGCGCTCAAAAAATGGTAAGAGGTAAGAAGGAGGATGCGATGGAAGGGCATTGCTTCAAGACAAAGCATCCCGAACATCAAATGAAATGGTCCAAGAGCTAATAGGCCTTGGGAGAAGCGAAAGGTATTAGTAGGGCTGAAAATTGGGAGAAGAAGGAAAAGGGGAAGGACGATGTAGGAACAATTGCGGTCAGGTCATTGCCATCTATGACATCCAAGCTCGGAAAAGAACGCAGCGAAAAAAAAGAAACATAAATATTCTGCCATTATGCAGTACCAGCATATCATAATGCAGCAAAATAAGGAATATCAGGAGCAAGGGGTATCTAGGGAGAGAAGACAAAGACATCGACACATATAGAAAGGCAACTAGATGAGAAGAGATCAAGCGCCCCCTTTCTGAGCTTTTTCTTGAGCTCTACTCATGCGCGCAGCTTTCACAAGCGGTGACAGGTGGGATAGAGGGGAGCACAGGGACATGAAAGGATGCTAAATTGATAAAGATTAGTACCAAATAGCCCTCGAGGGTACGGTGGATCGAGTAAACATACCATCAATAAGTCATGCGCCGATGCTCTCTTCTCGGGATCAACCTTGAGTGCAAGATGCAGGAAATCACGAAAGACTGGTGACAAGTTATGCTCGTCTTTGATGGTTGGTGTGCCATTGGTGGCAATCAAGTACAGGGCTCGCAGAGGCGACTCAGTCAGATATGGCGGCTCGCCCTCGATCATCTCGATAGCCATGATACCCAAGCTCCAGATGTCAACCTTCCGGCCATACTCCTTTCTCGTGACGACCTCAGGAGCCATCCAGTACGGGGTTCCAACCATGGTGTTTCGCTTATTTTGCGAGTCATTGATTTGGGCGCAGAAACCAAAATCGGCTTCGCATTGTTAGCAGGGGAAACGCAATGGGATGATGAATCGACTTACTCAGCTTGATGTTGCCATCCAAGGAGAGAAGGATATTGTCCGACTTGATATCTCGGTGAATGACACCCTTTGAGTGGAGGTGCTGCAATCCACTCAGAGTCTGACTGGCTGTCAGCATTATACCACGGGTCTTGTACTTCGCCATGGCAAGCTTACCTCTCTGCACACGGCTGCAATCTGTCCCTCGGTCATTATATTGAACGTAACCACGTCAGTCAGACTGCCGCCCTCCATATATTCCATCACTACCCACAGATCCAAGCCATGGAGGTAGCTGTCGAGGAAGTTGACAATATTTTTGTGTTTGCTATCTTTCATGACGAGGATCTCATTAATAATAAGCTCCTTCTTTGGTTGTAAGTCCAGGTTCATTTGCTTGATTGCGACGCAGTTGTTCGTGCCATGTTGATAAGCAGTGTAAACGCCGCCCGATGCTCCTTGACCGATCTTGTTTAGATTATAATAGATCTTCGTTGGATCACCTGGTGTACAGATAGCAAGCAACCGCGCCCTTACATCCACAGTATTACTCTGACGAGGGCGCTGCCGCGGACGGGCTGCCGGGACGGGCTGCGCCTTCTGAGGGCCCTGCAACGCACTAGAATGGTCGTCGGCATGCTGCAAATGTCCCGGTTGCATGGGCTGTTTGGGCTCTGGTCCGCGTGCCTGCTGTTGGCGTTGGCTTCGGCTGCGCTCCACTTGCTTCTGTACGATCGCTTGTTGAGCGGCAGCCATCGCTTGCTCCTGCTGCTGTTGATACTGAGCTGGCGAAGCAATGGCACTTGGCTGCACCCATTGCGGTTGCACACCGTTGGTCTTAGAATTCGACCGGCTGCGCTGCGCCTCGGACGGCAACGGTTCAGATTCTGGGATGGGAGGCGTGCCAAATTGGTTAGCATATGCGTCCTGAGTTGGCCGGGTCACTGGGGGCTGCGGTGCAGGTCGAGCAGGTGTCATGTTGGCTGGAGCAGGAGGCTTTGGAGGTGCCCGGTTGGGAACAAGCCCACCGATTGGTGGGGAAATCGCCTGAGTGGCTGCGGGAGCACCCCGCGGTATCGGAGGGGGGGCGCGTGGATTCTCAAAACTGCCTTCGTGGTTCTGCGGGAACCGAGGGCTCGTTGGAGGTGAGTTTCGTTGGGCCACCGGTGTGTTCGCGGTGGGTTGATGATGAGCATAGGCGTGGTCGAACTTGTGCCAGACCTCATCGTCTCCGCGAGCGTTTTTCTCATAAAATCGCATAATGTCGACCATGGTTTGAGGGTGCTCCTCCTGCTCCTTCTTGGAGATGCCGTTTTCTTGCAGGAGTCGTTGCCATTCTTTCGGCAACCCGGTGAACTGGCCGGTCTGGTTGTCGTAGCCCACATGGGTGACATGAACAGGGTTTTCGGGGGCGGAGATCTTGATACCCCGGGGAGAACCTAACATGCTGTTGACAAAGCTCGAGAAGCTACTCTTCTTACTCCTCCCAAAGACTTTTGTTCCATTTGCCTCGTCCGAATGCCTTTTCGTGTTTGTCGATTGATCATTTTCGCTTTTCTGGGTGAAGGCGTCCATACGGTTCTGTAAAGCGGTAAAACTCGCCGACTGTCTGAGTCCGCGGGAATCGGGGCTGGTGTGGTAGGATCGTAACGTCGGCGGTTGCGGCGGGGGACTTTTCTCGGACTCGGCGGTGTTCTCTTCCAATGCACTGAGCATGCCCCGCGAATCAAACGGGGAACTGGTCAATTCATCAGAGCTCGGATCGGTGTTGAAAGAGAATCGCCCCGGGCGGGACTTGGCCGACGTGTACGAGTTCGAAAAGAAATTGTGAGAGTCGCCGCCAGCAAGAACAGGAGATAGACCCCCACTGTGTTGATCGAGAGAAGATGAGGAGGAACCGTATGCGTTGGATCTTGTGCGCGAATGTTCTCGACTTCCACTGGCGGAGGAACGGGGATAGACAGGCGCCGAGGGGTGTCGTTTGAGTGACGTGTTGCTCTGCTGGCTTCTAAGGATACGGGAAGAAAAGCTAGGAGGGTCTTTTTGGAGTTTGCTAGACGTTCGTCTGAATTTTAAGGAAGAAAAACTGTCGTGGCTCATGATGTGCGATTAGGAGGGGGTTCGGCGAATTGATGTGTAGTGACAAGGTGGGTGACGGGTATGCTTGAATGGCTCGATTGGGAGAAGGTGGGGGAAAGCCACCAGGTGAGGCGGTGCTCCTGGCTATCCCGTCTGTATCTTTTTTGGCGGTCGCAGGTTTGTGAAAGGGATGTGTAGATGTATCTTGATGTGAGATGATAGATTGACCTTTTCGAAAGATTAGGGGGGGGTAAAAAAAGTATACCGCTGTGTTGCTGCAAAGATCGAGTGATTTGCGGGACGGGATGAAAACCCAGATAGGCGGACTTCAAGGGGAGCGAGCGAAAGAAGCTGCCGCGGGCTAGGAGTCTACCGCAGTCCGTAACGGCGTAACCACAATAACCAGCGGTTAGCACGTGGAGAGCCGCTGGATCAGTCACAGCAAAAAAAACTCCAACATAGGCGGTGACAGAAATTCGACGTTTGGCAAGGGTAGAAGCCGAAGAAGCAGTGATACGTATCTATCTTCTAAGGTGGGCAAGGAGAATAGGTAGTAATGCAAGTCGAGTGTGAGAGATCAAACCACCAGGTTGCAGGGAAAATGCATAGGCCCGACAGCTCAGCACACCGATCTGCAGTAGTGCGCCAGGGGGATGACAAGGAGGAATATCCAACAACGACGGGACAGGGGGATGGATGGATGGATGGATGATGGTGATGATGATGATTGTGATGCAGACAAGTTCCAGCCAAGTGACAATGTGGTAAAAGTCGGGGATAGATGAGCGGGAAACTCTTATTATTATTATCCTCGATCCTGACTCTCGAATTTGATTGAGTTAAATTGCCTGGCTCGACCAGCAGCAGCGGGGATGCCATTATTTACCCCATTAAAAGTCCTGTAGATGTTTGATATAAGTTATTTTATCATTTCTTGCGATGTATATCTACTAGATCTCTATCTAAAAGGTAGTTGGATAACTATTGTATCAAATCGTCGATCTAAGAAAGTCGACTTTCATTATTTCACCCCGTGTCATGGTGACGGGGATGGAAGATGAACCTTTCAGTCTGGCAGCCCCGTCGAGAAAAACGCTTGGCTTGATATCCTCGCATAAAGACTTGGGTCATGTTACAGAACAGAAGTGTAATTGGTTTCTAGAACTTTAATCTTCATTCTGTTCGATCTTCAGAGACGTACTTTTATTCCGACAGTAGCCAATTGCTACATCCCACACCAGAAATCATGATTGTGATACTCTGTAAGGGGGCGGGAGTAGGTTGATAGACAGATCATGGACCATGGATGATGTCTCATTCTTCCTTTTAGGACGTTTGATCAAAGCTGGGCACAAAGCCACAAAGATTGTACTTCCTACCCCACCTTCCAACCAGCGAGCTACTGTACTTGAGAGTAAGACGTGATGGATGCGGTGTTCTGTCAGTGTTCTGTCAGGGCTTCAGGGCCCGTTGATTTGTTGACTGCTGAAGGCGTACCTAGGTGTGCTGTTCGACCTTATGTTATGTTACAGTCTGATACCATTGAAAATCGGGCTGTTGTCAATCAATATGTTTGAGAAAACAGCCACAAGAGACAGAAGATACTGTGCGAAGAGGTTCTTTAGGAATGATCTAGACTAATGTTATTTTCAAAGAGAGGGAGCAGCCACAGATGATCAGAAAGACGATGACGATGATGATGTGTCAAGAATTTTCTTCTTGTTTATTTAGTGCAGTGATTTACTCCGAGCCTTTGAGACAGATGATGTCGTCGGTGGTCCTGTGCCAATATCAACTGCGGAGTCCATATTCTTTTCTTTTTCTTTGACCTTGAAAGAAAGCAACACACATCATTGCAAAAATCTGCCAGAGCTGTCAGAACATACTTACTAACTGATTAATCAGGCTGACATGTCTGGAGAAAATCAGAAATTTCGTACAATCAAACTCGGCCAATTTCGAAACCATCTGTAGGACAAAATCGAGGGTGCTCAGACCTCTCCCGCCTTCCGTCTCCCTTATTTCGGTACTCATCCTCGGTCGAGACAGGCAAGCATTCAAATGGACACTCACGGAACATCCTAGGCAGTTACATAGGTACAGCTTTACCTTCTGCAGGTACACCAGCGTTTTGAATCGTCCGGATATGTGAGAACACTTCCCCCCTGCGTCTATGCTTGTATCCCAGTCACAGGTTTGGCCACAGCATTAGCAGACATGTGTCTCTTTCAAATTCGCTCGTCCTGTCTCGCTCGGATAGTCCTTATCTCTGGAGCCCGTGGTAGAATCATGAATGGCATTGATGATATTCGCTGGTCCGAGTGGTTGAAAGCTATAGAATCTCAATTCTTGTCTTCGAACTGCATTGAAGACTGCCTTAAACAGGAGAGGCCAGTCCTGAACGGTCACGTTCCCATTCAATGATAACAGAACACCTCACATCATACATATTGCTAGGTCGTCAGGTATCTAAGTAGTAGTATCTAGTTACCGGTAAGCTACGGAGTACTAGTAAATCATATTATTATGCTCACCAGGTTTCCAAAAAGAAAAACACATTGCGGGACATCCATTCTGATCCCATTGGCCTACGCTTTGTATCAACCATCGTCATCTCACCCTCATCCTCAGCTTACGCCTAGGTAGTGTTGGATTTGTTCTTAGCCTAGTATCAAATCATACCTGTCGACCAAGATGAGATAAATCGGCCTGGATGTTAGTGATTTCCTAGAGTCAGGTTCTCAATCTGGCCACGCTCTCAAGCACGGAAAAGGACAGGCCAATATGGTAGGATTTGCACATCTGCTGCTGCTTTCTCTGGAACCTCATGGCAAGCCCTG